TCTTTCCTGTTTAGAATATTTCCCTAAATTTGTAAAATATTTAATTTTTTTGGTCTTTTTTGAGACAGGGTCTCCCTGTAGCCCAAGCTGTCCTGGAACTCGCTATGTAGACCAGGCTGGCCTTGAACTCACAGAGATCCACCTGCCTCTGTTTCCTGAGTGCTGGGATTAAAAGCATGCGCCACCACGCCCGGCCTAGGACAGTTATTTTTATTACAGTTTCCATTTTTTTGGTATTTATGTGTGCACATGTGTTCATGTGGAGGCCAGAAGTCAACACTGGGTGCTATCTTCAGTTCCTCCTATCTGCCTTCTTTTAAAAAAAAATTTATTTATTTATTGTGTGTGTGTGTGTGTGTGTGTGTGTGTACATGCATGCTACAGTGTACATGGGGAGGCCAGAGGGCAACTTTGGGAATTTGGTTCTTTCCTTCTACCACATGGGTCCTGAGACTCTGGTTGTGAGCCTTGGCAACAAGTGTCTTTACTTGCTGAGCCATCTTGTCTGCCTTCTGCTTTATCTCTTGAGACATGGTCTCTCACTGAACCTGGAGTCCATTGATTCAGCTGGGCCAGCCTGCCAGTGAACTCCAGGGATCTTCCTGTCTCTGTTCTACTCAAGCATTAGGGTTACAGCTGTACAGTGCTCGGCTTTTACATGGGTGCTGGGGCTCTGAATCAGGTTCTCATGCTTGTAGGGCAGACTCTTTACCAGATAAGCCATCTCCCCAGCCTGATTACAGTATCTATGCTTGCAGAGGACTGCTTACCAACAACGAGTCTCTGAAGAGCACCTTTATCCCCATTAACTGCAGCGGCATGAACCTGTGATACAAACGAGCAGCCAGGAGAGAGCAGGCTCTCTGACGTGTTCATGCTCTTCTCAGTGGCTGGAGTGACCTGAAACAGTGACAGTATCTGTAGAAAACACTTCTTTTTTAAAAACTTTTTATTTTTATTTTATGTGTATGCATGTATTGCCTGCATGTATGTAAGTACACCTGTGTTGTGCAATGCCCACGGAGGACAGAAGAGGTCATTGGATCCCCTGGAATTGAAGTTACAGACAGTTGTTAGCTGCCATGTGGGTGCTGGGAATTGAACCTGGGTCCTCTGTAAGAGCAGCCAGTGCTCTTAGCTACTGAGCTATCTCTCCAACCCCCAGAAAGCACTTCTAACACTGCCATACCAATGCCAAGTAGGCAGCTTATAAACATGATTTATTAGAATGTTTGAGTAGGACTTAACTCACTCTTAGTCTTATAATTGCCATGAAATTGCAAATGAAGTGGTCTTTGTACAGCTTGCTCAACAGTAAAATGAGAGAATTGGGTGCTTTTAAGATCCTTCTCAAGATGGGTGCGTGGAGCCTCAATATTTTACATTGGGTACAAGGTTCAAAAGTCACAGTGACTTCTAAGATTAATACAGATCATATGATTCTACACAATACTTGTTGATATCAGGCTGTACCCTGTTCCAAGTTACTCCCTACTTTGTAAAACAGCATTTTCTGAGGCTGCGCCTTGCCCTGAAAGACTCCATTTTGAGGATGGAAGATGACTGCGCTCCTGGGTGAACAAGCAAAACACTATCTGTCTAGCACTACCCATGCAGCACAGACTGGTACTCTACAAATTTATTGGGGTGAACTGAGACTGTAGGAGCACATAGGCATATTAAAAATCACATGGGGAGGGTAGCTGAAGAGATTAATCAGTGGTTAACAGCACTGGTTGCTCTTCCAGAGGACCAGGGTTTGGTTCCCAGCACCCACAGGACAAGGCTAACAGCTGTCCATAACTCTAGTTCCAGGGGGATCTGATGCCTGGGCTTTGCAAGCATTGCATGACACGGGTGCACTTACATGCAGGCAAAACACATAAAAAAATTTTAAAAAAATCACATCAAGGAAACCAGGCCCAAGAACTTACTGGACATGACAGACTAAGGAAAAGCTGTAATTCTTTCACATGGACCCTACAAAGTGATGGACACCTAGCACTGCAATGGTCATGGTCCCATCAACCTATCATCTGAGACCTGGTGTATACATCAATGAGTGATAGGTAGAGAACTCCTTGTGGCTTTAGCTCAGCTAGGTCTCCTGCTGCTGACACGGCCTACTCAACCGCCATCTGCCTGTCTACCTGTTTGCCTGTCTGGACCTGAACTGGTTGTTCCTGCTCTGACCTGGTTCAGCAACTGACTGCATCTTTGCCCCTAACTCTGACTCTCCCAAGGCCTGATCTCTACAGCAGCAGCTTCTTCTCTGTGTCTGTTTTGGGTTGTTATCCATTCAGACTCTACCTGCATTTCTATCAGCTCATTTCTGAAACCTCTTGAATTCCGCTGTAGTTTCTTTTAAAAAAATTATTATTTTTATTTTATGTGTATGAGTGTATTGCCTGTGTGTAGGTAAGTGCACCCATGTTCTGCAATGCCCACAGAAGACAGAAGAGGCTGTCAGATCCCCTGGAACTGGGGTTACGAACAGTTGTTAGCTGCCTTGTGGATGCTGGGATTTGAACCCGGGTTTTCTGCAAGAACAGTCAGTGTTCTTAACCACTGAGCTATCTCTCCAGCCCCTGCTGTAGCTTCTTTAACTTGTGTTCCTTCCCTACACCACATAATATGCACATATATATATATATACTGTGTGCTGTGATATGAGATTTACTACTCACAATTAAGATGGGAATAAAAGAATGTGCAGTTGCCTTGACCAGATGACCAAGATAGGCAGGATTATCTGGGAAACTGCTACCAGTGAATCCACTCTGCCTTGTGAATTTATTGCTATCCAATAAATTCTGACAATATGGAAAGATACAAATGTTGTTTGTCTGTTTTCGGCATAGTGCACTCATGGCAACTGACAAGGATACTGAATTATTATTCCAATTTAGAAAACATTTCTAAAATTATGGTAAAGGTTAGCTCATTTCTTTATTTTTTCAACAATTTGAGTTAACATGCTGACAGAAAATATGGAAGGGGATGCTGTGAGACAATTCTGTCATGCCTAAGCATGTCTGTCTTGTTACAACAAAGATTGTCATATGTAGGATTATATTAAAGCCACTAGAGTGAAGCTAGGAAACAAGGATGGAGGTGAAAACATGGTAGGAAACTAATTAATTTGAGTTCCTGGTCTGATTTTGTTAATAATCAGCAATGTGTCCTTAGTCTGCCTCAGCTCTCTAGATTTCATTAAATGTGAAAAGTTAAAAGTTAGCTATGTTACAACAAAGATTGTCATATGTAGGATTATATTAAAGCCACTAGAGTGAAGCTAGGAAACAAGGATGGAGGTGAAAACATGGTAGGAAACTAATTAATTTGAGTTCCTGGTCTGATTTTGTTAATAATCAGCAATGTGTCCTTAGTCTGCCTCAGCTCTCTAGATTTCATTAAATGTGAAAAGTTAAAAGTTAGCTATGAGCCGGGCGTGGTGGCGCACACCTTTAATCCCAGCACTTG